AGGCCGGGGGACGCGGACGAGCCTCCCAGACTCCCCTCTCCTCAGAAACTCGTGCCTCGCCATTATTTTTAACTCAAAGAGCGCGCGTGTTCCCCAGATTTGAGGCCGGGCTGCAGAAAATGCATTTTGTGTAGCTCTGTTGAAAGTACATCGCTGGGTCCCTTTGCAGGATCGAAGTGCGGTGTAAACTGAGTAACTGCTTGCCTCTGGGAAGCAGACAGAGATGGAGAAACACATGGGATGTAACTGCGATTCAGTGCCATTATTTTTAACTCAAAGAGCGCGCGTGTTCCCCAGATTTGAGGCCGGGCTGCAGAAAATGCATTTTGTGTAGCTCTGTTGAAAGTACATCGCTGGGTCCCTTTGCAGGATCGAAGTGCGGTGTAAACTGAGTAACTGCTTGCCTCTGGGAAGCAGACAGAGATGGAGAAACACATGGGATGTAACTGCGATTCAGTGGCAAGACTATGTGAGAATCTGAAACAATCCTTATATAGATGGAGAAACAGATACGGAAAATGATATGTCATAAATGGAAGTTTAAATTAGGAGGGTTGTATCTGATAATTAGGTACATAAAGCAAAATTAGATTTTTTAAGATATAAAGTACTCAGCATTGATAAGCGACCGCTTTATTCTGGGCTTTCAGCACTTCCCTGTGGTCTGATCATTACTTCTGAGAATGGCATAGAGGTAACATTAAAAAGTTTGCTGTGTTTGTACCACTTGCTAAATAACCAGTATTCACTAGTTAGAGTATGATGCTTTTTCCATTAAATTCAGAATATTCTTTAGGTACTCTGGGTACCATAATGATTGCAGGCAAAGCATTCCCTCTTGATTCTCCAGTCCTCTCTTGTCTCTCATTCTCTCGCTAACACATATATACTCAGAAAGGGAAACTGCACAGAACAGTCAGTTTACTTGTCTTGTTTTTAAAAAGCTATTTTGTTTTAAATACTTACATACAGGTATTGTGTAACTTTCTTGCAAGTTTTCATGGGTAAAGCTAGTTTCTCTGTGGCATAAGTTGTAACAGTGATTTAGGCAGATGTAGAAAGACCTTACCTAGTCAGTCCTTTACAATTTCCTAGCACAAAGTGGTAACATTTTAATACAAACACCACTAAGCCACAAAGACGATTTTTAATCAGCAGCTTTTAAAAGGGATTGAGTAACGGAGATCTGGAATGACTATGTCCATAAAAACACAAAAACTTACTTAAATGAACAAAATGATAGGAGAAAGGGCATAAGTAGTAATGAGATGTATCAATGCCCTGAAAACAGTGTTAAAGAAACCATGTATTTTCATTGTCACTTGCATTTACACGAAAGGAATACCCTATTGTACAATCTAGTTTGTGTATGTATATTTTTGTAAGGATATTTATATAAGGATATTAAAATTACAAAAATATATTAACCATAAAAAGAATGTATGTATAAATGGCTATGTGAATATGGAAATTAAATAAGAGCAGACTTCCAAAAAAATGCAATTTTCTCTTCCTCATGAACTCATTTTAAATGTCCTGTCTTCCTGATAATTGTAAATTGAGCTAAAAATGATAGTTTTGCAATATCACAGCTACACTAAAACATTGTAGACAGATTATGAGGACATATTACAGGGTTTTTTTTTCTTCCAAACATGAAATCTTTATGAAATAGACTCAGAAATTGAAATCCTTTTTAGCAAATTTGATTTTTCCTTTTCCTAGACTTCTTTGTAATGTTTTCTAATACTTTATTGTATTTTGTAGGATGATACAGCTTGTATTGCACCTCGTCCTGCTGAGTGTTGCTATTTATCTTCTGTGAAGAAAAACAGAAAAGAGAAAATATTACAACTAAACTGAAATACTCAAAGTAAATGGACTATAACCACCCATTTTGGCATCAAAATCTCTGAGGGGAGAAAAAAAAAGGTGACTGGAAACTTCATTCAGCTCAGTGTGTTACAATTCATGTTACACCATCAAATTAAACGATTAACTGGAACAATGAAATCAAAGATACTAATGTTGCTTTTTTGCTTTGTCCTATTTTGTTTTGTTTTTGAAGATAATCATTTTTACTTGCTGAAAATCTGTAGGCCAGATTCAGTCTGTATATACATTAGTGTATATTTAGAAAGACTTTCTTGATAGGGACTAGTTCCCCTATACTAAGTGGCAACAGTCTAGGTAGTCTTTAGATAACTATTCAAGGAATTTCCTTCTTAAAATTTGCTACCTCTATCTTCTCCACATAATTCAATCTGAATTTGCAAGAAGTATGGGGCAAATTCTAAGGTAGCACAAGCGTACATAAGGATTTGGGCGTGATTTGAAAGTATTTTAAAATTCTTTTTTCACAGAGCTCCCTTTTTGCAGGATTTGAACATGCTTTCTTAACTATTGTGTACAGGGCTAAAGCAAATTTAGAATAGCTTCACATAGGTGTTGAAGGTTAGCCTCAGACACAGTTTGTGAAAATAATATTGAATCTTGTGCCTGTCCACACAGGAATGACCTTTAAAACCAGTTTTGAGTGAAAACTTATCTGAACTGTGTTTTACAATGATGAAAGTAGAAATTATGCTCAAGTAATAGAAAAAGATTTTTAAAACCCTAATTTCGGTTAATTGTGATCTTAATTCAAGCAATCCTTTCTCTATGCAGAAGATTTTCTATGTATAATGCATGTATACATTGGTAGAATTTTTATTCAAAAATACAAAGTGTTCATGATACTCAACATTTAAGTAAAATGTATAATACAATCATTTTATGAATTTTAAATTTCATGTTCCAGATTTGGCATTTACATACCAAATCTAGTCCAGAGGTAAATTTTCCTTAGTGTGTCAATTTCAGACCTTTTCTCAGATTTGCAAGTCAAAATAGCGTTATTATAATAAAGAAGAAAATGCATTCTGTAAATATTACTACTTCAGAAAGAAATTGTAGTGAATTGGGAATAGGTGGCTTGAAAAGCATGCTCACATAAAAAAATCCTTTCTTTAGCTGAAATTTGTGTAAATTTATTTTTAACTATTTTAGCACAAATCAAAAAATGTGCTATAAAGCTTCACATTTTAAAGTCTTCACACACATCAGAATAGTAGTAATAGTCAAATCTTTGTCACCATCAAATTTTCGCTTGGTGAGTTTAAAATTATACAATGCACTACATATTCATTTAGATTCAAGGTGGGAGGCAGTGTTGCATTTTTGTGTGTGTGCGTGTGTTTTTTTTTTAATCTATGATTTTTCAATACACTGTCCAAGCTGTCCAGAAGCACGAGTAAGAAGCTGTATCATTTTGCCATTTAATGGAAATGAAATGCATTCTGCAGTACCATACAAATTATATTCATGTTGAATACAGGTATGAACATGACATGCATTCTACTCTTCCTGAGAAACAGCAGCAAAGAGTTGTACAGGGTCCAAAAAATTTCCTAACATCTGGGTCCTGCAAGATGGTTTTCCATGATAAATTTGAATTTGAAAACCATTTTACTGAGGAACAAGAGGTTTTAGAGCATATACTGTCCCTGTGTAACAGATCACTCTTCAATGTCTGTTACTATACCTCAGTGTGCTAGGAAGCCCTAGCAGGGATGCCATCATCCCAGGACA